CCCCCCCACCCCCGCCTGGGCAGGGCCTGGGGGCAGGAAAGCACATCCTGCACATTTGGTGTCGTGTTGGACGCCTCGGGTGACGGCTGGCCGCCCGCAGGTGGAGCTGCGGGGGACTTCCAGAAAGGGAGGCTCACAGGCCGCGGTCAGGCGACTGGATGAAGTGAGGCCTGAGTGGAGGCCCTGTGGGGAGTGGGGACGGGAGCAGGAGCGGGGACACAGTGCGCACAGGGACCGGGGACAGGCGTCTGGAGCGTGGCACGGAGTAGATGGCGAAGGAGGCTCGGCTGCGGCTTCGTGGCCGACCAGTCCTTGTCTAGGTCAGAAGCAGCAAGTGGGCGGCCTTAGCCGTGTCCGGGGCATCTTTGCTTTTACTCACGTGATTTAAATAGTTTGAATAACACATTTAAAATAAAATGTTCATTCAGTGACCTGGAAGATGTGAGAGACCAGACCCAAATCCCGATTGTTTCCCTTGGAAAACAAATCAGTATCCGGACACATTCTTGTGTGTTTGTGTCCTGGACCAAACCCAGCAGGAGTGGACGTTCCCGGTTCTGGAGGCCGGACTCCGGGACCCAGGGCCGGCAGGACGCCCTCCCTTGGAGAATCTGGGTCGAATCCTTCCTGGCCTCTCCCGGCTTCTGGCGGCTTGTCATTCCGTGGCTTGTAGATACCGCACTCCAGGGTCTGCCTGTCACCCGCCGCCTTCTCCTCCGGGTGTGGGACTCTGGGTCCTCTCTTCTTACAAGGACAGTCGTGGCCTTGGGGTAAGGACCCGCCCTCCTCCAGTCTGACCTCATCTTACCTTGGTGACATCTGCAAAGACGCTATTTCCAAGTAAGGTCACATTCGCAGGGCCTGGGAGTTAGAGCGTCAGCCTCTCTCTTTAGGGGACACAGTTCACCCCAGAACACTGATCTTACGGCAGAGTCAGCGCCATAGCATGATGCCCCCCTGCCTGCGCCCCCCGGGTTGCACAGGCCCCATTCGAGTGGACAACCTCTCACTCCTGGCACGTTCACAGCCCGTCTCCCCGCCTCCTTCCTCCTGGTTCCTGTCCCTAAACCGTCACTCTGCAAGGCCCTTTCCCAGTCCTGCCTCCTCCCTGAAGTCCCCTCTGCACCTTCATCGTGAATTCTCACCTGGGGACTCAGAGGCACGTTCATGCTGTACATTTTGACAGTACCGGCTTGTCCCGTCTGGTCCTTAGCGTATGTTGGCATGTGATGGCTGCAGCATTGACCTTTGTCCCTGTCAAATACCTTAGGGACTTCCCTCATCTCAGGCAGCCTGGTTCCTCGCCGTGTGCCTGGGCACCGTGCTCTGTAGGGAGGACAGGCGTCCAATGGTATTTGACCAAATGGGAGAAAACAGCATCTGATGTGTGTCCGTGAGAAACCTTTCACCCAGGCAACTCCTGACCCGGCCGAGCACCCGCAGGCAAGGGGCCCGCCAGGACCCCCGCTGGATGACGAGGGGACTTCTGGACACGCTCACCTTCAGGGATGAGCCATCGGTGTGTAGAGGCTGGTCCCAGAATTCACAGTTTAATCATCTCATTCTTCCTCTTGAGATTTGGGCTCTTGGAAGTGGAGGAGCCTCGCTCTGCCCCCCACTCCACACCCACCACCCCTCCCCCCAAGACCTCTAACAGCTCCGTGTGGTTTCCTCCCCAGCTTCCGGCCTCTACGGCTCACCTTCAGGGATGAGCCATCGGTGTGTAGAGGCTGGTCCCAGAATTCACAGTTTAATCATCTCATTCTTCCTCTTGAGATTTGGGCTCTTGGAAGTGGAGGAGCCTCGCTCTGCCCCCCACTCCACACCCACCACCCCTCCCCCCAAGACCTCTAACAGCTCCGTGTGGTTTCCTCCCCAGCTTCCGGCCTCTCCTCCTCGCCATCGACGCCCACCCAAGTGGCCAAGCAGCACTCCTTCCCCCTCGAGTCCTATAAGCAGGAGCCTGAGCGACTGGAAAACCGCATCTATGCCTCGTCCTCCCCTGCGGACACGGGCCAGAGGTTCTGCCCGGCCTCCCACAGCCCAGCCCGGCCTCCGGCAGCGTCCCCCGCTCACTACGCTCCCTCCAGAACCGTAAGTCAGGGCGCGGCGACCGGCCTGGGAGGCAGGGCCCAGTCTGGGTGTGCTCACCTGGAGCTGGGGCTGCGGCTCCTGACAGCTGTGGGGTATTTATCGGGAATCACAGGGAGGGCCCAGTGGGCGGATGGAAGGCCCATGACAAGTGGTAACACCTGGAACATGACCAGAACCAGCTCTTTGTTCCCTCTGCTTCTTAAAAAAAAAAAAGTTTTGTTTGCATTTATCTTGAGTGGGAGACTAACATGACAAGTTACAGACAAAGCAAAAAGCAAACACACAGCTTTTTAAGATGGGAATGTGCTTCTAGAGTTTTCTGATATGAATTTGCCGTCGTTGGAGGGGGGCAGCATGCCGAGACGGGGAGCCTGTCTCGTGGAGGGGAGCAGCGTCTCTGCTCCTTCCGAGGAGGTCGGCGAGGCTTCACGGAGGAGCCGCCGCTGCCCCACACGCGGCCCTGCACGTGGGCGCAGGACTCCGTCCCTCTCGCCTGCCTGGTCCGCGTTCCGTACGCAGATGCTCTGTACTGGGTCTGTGCTCAGCAAGGACATACGACCTACCACTAAGATCGACCTGTGCAGATACAGCTCCGATTCGGTTGTTTTCCTCTCCTGGGGCTGGTGGGACCTGGTGGCAGGAGCTGGGGCCTGATGGCAACAGGAAGCCTGTCTCGGCTCCGTAGGCTGGAAGTCTGGCGTCGAGGTGTTGGCGGGACCAAGCCCTCCGAGGTCTCTGGGGCTCACGGTCTCCCCAGCTCCTGTGGCCCCAGGCTTTCCTCGGTCACAGCAGCATCACTCCACCCTCTGCCTCCCTCCCACATGGCTTCTTCCCTCCTTGTCTGTCTGTGTCCGGATTTTCCTCTTCTTATAAGGACACCAGTCATATTGGACCGGGGCCCAGCCTGACCCAGTATGACCTCATCTTAACTTGATGACATCTGCAAAGACCTGACTTCCAAATACAGTCACGTTCACAGGTTAGGACTTCAGGGGGGGGGGGGGGGGGGTGACGACCCGTCCAGAACAGTTATCTGTGGGAGAAAGGAGATGTGCTGTCGTGCAGAGGACATCCTGCGACTCCCCTTGTCCCTCAGTGGCTGTTCTAATAGCTCTGTGCTCTGCAGGGACTTTGTGTGTTTTCAGTGCTGAGGGGAAAGGCGAGCTATTGTTCCCGTCTTCTAGGGCTGCAGCCTCACTGGGGCAGATTGAGCCTGGGGAAAGGTAAGGTAAACGCAGAAGTAAGTTGGTGGGATGCGTAGTGAAGCCAGTAATCTAGTCGTCCTGCAGGAGGGAAATAGCATCGGCCCAGGGCAGTGGAGGCTCCCAGGCAGAGGGACCCACTGAGCTGGGCCTGAGTCGCTGGTCGGGTTCAGTAAGGGGACAGAGAGAAAGATGAGCCATGACATGGGGTAGGAATGAGTGTGACATGTAGCCCAGAGGAGAATGAGTGTGACATGTAGCCCAGAGGAGGAGAGTCCGTGGTGCCGGAGCAGTGGGCAGGGGCCTGTCTGGGCAGTGGGACCTGGTAGCAGACTCGGAGACAGACGGGAGACAGGGAGACCCCTGGGAGGCAGTGACGCCCCTGGAGCGTGGGCCTGGGAGGAAGGTTGTCCGTGTTCTCGGGTGTGAGTGAGAAAGGGTGGACCGCAGAGGTCTCTGTGCTCCCGTGCATGTAACCAAGAGACGTGGTGATAGAGACGATAGGACACAAAAGCATCCAAGAAAGGAATGAGGAGGCAGCCCAACCTGATCAGAAACAGGAAGCCATTACCTCCCCTTCCCCCAACCCGCCCCAGGGCCAGGGCACAATGAGAGGAGGTGCAGAGGAGCTGGAGCCAGAGCCGGAGCTGGAGCACTGAGGAGAAGCAGCCACTGGCCGGAGCCACCCTTTGAGGCAGAAAGATGGCCCTGGCCTCCCCCGCTCCTGCCCGCTGGCTGTGCCAGACCTACCCTGAGGCCAGCGAGCCAGGAGGCCTGGGACAGACAGAGCCTGTGGGAGTGGGAGCAGGGGGAAGGCCAGGGAAGGGAGCAAAGGGGGGAATGACCCCAGAGAGGAGTAAATGCTGTGGGAGACATCTCAAAATACTGCTTCTTCTCATTGGCTATGATGATGAGTAGAACAGCTCTATTTGAAGAGAAAGCAGGGGTGCTTTTGCTGTAGGTCATTTGACGTGATGGTGACAGGCCCAGACACAGGGCTGTTCCTTGTTGCAGAAGTTTTATGCTCGGGCACGCCTGGCCTTTCCCAGTTGAAATAGAAGCAAATCCAGAGCGAGCTCTCGGTCCAGGTCAGCTTTCTGCCATGACTGTGACTAAAGGTGAAGTTCTTACCTGTTAATACTTCACACACTGAGGCCAACGAGCGTGGATCCTCCCAGGCTCCCCAGGGTGGGTCTGGGCCAGAGAGAAAGCATGCTCAGCTGGGTCCACATTCAGCGATGGGCATGGCCCATGGCCTGGTCAGGGGCCCTGGCAGTGCAGTGGGGCTTCAGCAACGATCCCGAGGTCACAAGCGGATAAACGAGATGTGGTCGTTCTATACAGTGAGCCGCTCCCAGCCTTCCCGAGGAAGGAGATTCTGACAACGCTACCGTGTGGATGAACCTGAGGACAACATGCCAAGTGACATAAACCGTCACAGAAGGACAGACACTGACTCCGCTTCTGTGAGGCCCCTGGAGTCCTCAGATCCACAGACAGCAGCAGGGTGGTGGTGCGGGGGCTGGCTGGGGAGGAATGGGGTTAGCGTTTCACGGGGACCGACTCCAGGTTTGCGAGATTACAAACGTTCTGGGGATGATTACATGGCAGTGTGAGTGTACTCAGTACCACTGAATTGTCCTCTTTTTAAAATGGAAACTTTTATGTTATGTATGTTATTTTACCACAATTTTAAAAAATACTCCAATCAAAGCTACAATGGTTATATAGTTTGAGCCTCAGAAAACGAGGAAGGAGATTCTGACAACGCTACCATGTGGATGAGCCCGAGGACAACATGCCAATTGACATAAACCGTCACAGAAGGACAGACACTGTGACTCCGCTTCTGTGAGGCCCCTGGAGTCCTCAGATCCACAGACAGCAGCAGGGTGGTGGTGCGGGGGCTGGCTGGGGAGGAATGGGGTTAGCGTTTCACGGGGACCGACTCCAGGTTTGCGAGATTACGAACGTTCTGGGGATGATGGTGGGGATGGTTACATGACAGTGTGAGTGTACTTAGTACCACTAAATTGTCCTCTTTTTAAAATGGAAACTTTTATGTTATGTATGTCATTTTACCACAATTTTAAAAAATAGTCCAATCAAAGCTACAATGGTTATATAGTTTGAGCCTCAGAAAATCAGGGTGATCACCGAGGCTCCCCCTTACGTTGTGAAATGGTATGTTTCAAAATTGGAAGACAGCGTTTCCACCAGCTGCCTGACATCAAACAAGGCCTTAATCCACCTGTAAACGTTATCACCCAAGGCCTCCAGGCTGCCTTCTCCCCCCTCCACCCCACCCATGACAGTTTCAAGATCATCTAAAGTGTGTTTCTTTATAATCGGCTTGTGTGGAGTGTCTTTAACATGTGTGCTCAGTTCCTTAAGAGCTTGGCTGGTTTCATTGATTTTGCCACCAGCATCATCTTCCTGGAGGAGCAGGAGTTGCCTACAGACATCTGTCAGCCTGGAAATATTTCCCTCTGACATAGCTCTGCCTTTCGGAATAAAAAGACGCTTTCAGTAAACATGGACCATGAAGATCACTTTCATCAAACTTGTTCCCGTGCATTTTATTCTGAAATGGAAAGGGGGTGAGGGTGGATAGCCTGTAGTAGAGAGCTCTCCTTTCATCGTTCATTTTCTCAGCGAATTCTTATTAAGCACCTGGGATGTGCCGGAAACAGTGCTGGGAGAGGGCGATGGGTGACAAAGGTGAGCCACCGCCCGAGGCAGGGACAGAGTCTGCTCTGTCCACTTGGTTAACAACACATTGTGCACTGGAGGGATCTGAGAGACAGCTAATAGCTCATTGAACAAAAGGAGCATTTGTCCATTTGGGAGGTTCAGACAGGTCAGCAGGTGCAGTGGAACTGATAGAACTCGTGCAGTTGTTATGGGAGGAGAGCCCGCCCAGTGTCCGTGCGTGGAGGAGCCAGCCGAACGGCGGGATGGGACTGCTCCTTCAGCAGCGGAGAGCAGTGATCAGCCCTGCGTGTCGGGGTGATCCCTCCGGGGCCGGGCGTGGATTAGGTTGGCTTTGTGTGGCACGGAGCTCGGGTGAGATGCAGCGGGCAATGAGGCAGGTCTGGTGCGGCTGAAGGTGATAAGCAGTGGACTAGAGTTCGAAGGAAAGAGCTGTTTAAGAGGCTGCACTGAGAGGGATTTGGAAGGTGCTGATCGGTTAGTTGCGGAGGAAAGAGCGCAGAATCAGAGGGTTCCAAATGTTTTTCCTTGGGAAACTGGATGGATGTCATTGCGTTTTCTGGCGGAGGGAACAGAACAGGAAGAGGAGCGGGCTGTCTGTGTGCATATGTGATGTGCATGTCTGTGCATGTGTTTGTGTGTGTGTGTGTGTGTGTGTGTGTGTGTAGGTGGCGGCGGTACAATAAGGTGTCTGGGACACTCAAGAGGAGGTGTTCAAAGAGTAATTGGCTGTGTGCATCTGGAGCTAATTATTTTTTAATATATTTTTATTGGTTTCAGAGAGGAAGGAAGAGGGAGAGGGAGAGACAGAAACATCAATGATGAGAGAGAATCATTGATCAGCTGTCCCCTGCACACCCCGCACCGGGGATCAAGCCCACAACCCAGGCATGTGCCCCTGACTGGAACCGAACCCAGGACCCTTCAGTCTGCAGGCCACGCTCTGTCCACTGAGCCACACCAACCAGGGCTGGAGCTAATTATTAACATTTGAACATCATCAGAGCAGCGGTCGTTTATGCCATCATAGTAGATGACATAAAGAGAGGGATGTGTGGCGGGAGAAGAAAGCCAGGAAAACGTGAACATTCAAGGGACAAACAAAGGACAAGGATCCTGAGTTGCTGGGAGAGCAGGCAGGAAAGCAGGCACACACAGCATCCGGAAGCAAGGGGAGTGCGTTTCATTGCACTTCGAGCATGTGGAGGGTGTGCTGGGGCCTCAAACGCAGCAGAGCCCTGACACTGTCTGAGAGGCCTGGTCAGAGCCCCGCACCAGCCAGCTGGACCGCCCACAAATCCCTTACCCGTAGAAACCATGGACGCCGCTTATTAGTCCTCCAGGGCTGCCATACAGAATACCACAGGCTGGGTGCTTACTGCTCCCGGTCCTGGAGGCTGGCAGTCCAAGACCGAGGTGCTGGTGGGGCTGGTTTCTCCTGCAGTCTCTCGCCTGGGCTGCAGGTGGCCGTCTTGTCACTGTATCCTCACCTTCTTTCCTCCCTGACACACATCCCTGGTGTCTCTTCCTCCTCCTATAAGGACACCAGTCTTATTGGCTGAGGGCCCCACCCACATGACCTTATTTAACCTTAGTAACATCTTCAGAGGCCCTGTCTCCAAATATAGTCACACTGGGGGTTGTGGCTTCACTATATAAATTTGGGAGGAGGACACAATTTAGCCCATACCAGATTATAAATTATTGTTGTTATCTTAAGCCACTGAGTATGGAGTGATTTGTTATTGTATCAAAAAAATAACTAATACTTGCCCTGGCTGGTGTGGCTCAGTTGGTCGGAGTGTTGTCCCATACACCAAAAGGTGATGATTTGATTCCCAGTCGGGGCACATACCCAGGTTGTGGGCTCAATCCCCGGTTGGGGTGCGTGCAGGAGGCAGCCGATCAATGTTTCTCTCTCTCTCTCTCTCTCTCTCTCTCTCTCTCCTCTCTCCTCCCTCCCTCCCTCCCTCCCTCCCCCTTTTCCCCTCTCTAAGATCAATTAAAAATAATAATAACTAGCACTTGTTTCATCATGTATGTGGGGAGGTGATATAACTCAATGAATTCATGAACTTTGGTTTTTTTCTTAAACCTGACTCTTTCCACTGAATCCGTCTCCAAGATTACTACTTTTCCCAGGATGACTATTTGGACGGAAATCACTAACCAATTTTTCGAGATTGTTATTTAGAGTAATTACCTTTTTTAAAAATAGGGAAGCACTTTAAAAATCTAAAAATATTTTCAAATCACTTGACATTAAGGAGTAAATGCATGACTTTGATTTTATATTCCTGTCTCACCATTTTAAATACCAAGTTACAACCTAATAAGGCCCGGTGTTAAAACTATCTGCCCAGAAATGGCAAAGTAACAGTCCCATACTCTGTTGCTCACAACAGATTAGATATTTTAAAAATAGTTTGGGGGAAATTCACACTGGGCCCAGGAGTGGGAGCGGCAGGGCTGGTGATCCTGACAGCCGGCCGTAGACAAGTGCTGCCTGCGTGGTGACGAGACAGGCAGAGGCGCTGCTCTCCCCGCGGTCGAGCCACGATCTTGTAACTGGCATTCTCCCTGTTCCTGGCTGTTGGAGGCCTGGCTCAGTGACCGGAGAGAAGACAGAGCCCGAATCAGAGAGGGTCCCTGGCTCAGAGCTTGGCCCGTTGGAGCAGTGGCCTGGGTCTTCAGGTTCTTGGCCATTCTGTTCCCTGGGGTAGATGAGCTTCAAGGAAAGGATGTTGGATCTTTCTGCCTCAAGATTTTATTATTTTTTGTTAATTGTCACCTGAGGATATTTTTCTCCATTGATTTTAGAGAGAGTGGAATGGAGGGAGAATAGAAGAGGGAGGGAGGGAGGGAGGGAGGGGGAGAGGGAGAGAGAAACATTAATGTGAAAGAGACACATCAATTGGTTGCCTCCTACATGCACCCCGACCAGGGCTGGGGATTGAACCTGCAACCCAGGTACGTGCCCTTGACTGGGAATCTTACCTGTGACCCTTCAGTGCACAGGCTGATGCTCACCACTGAGCAACACCAGCCAGGGCCAAGATTTTCTTTAAAACTTGATAAATGCCCTGTGTCTGTCCCCTCCCAGGAAATCATTCCTTCGACAGTTTCCCAAGATCCGTGAGCCCAGCACTGTCCTGGGCTCTGGGTACTCAGTGGGAGTGGAGATACTCCCGCCCCCAGGAGGGTCCCAGCCGGAGGGAAGGCCTGCGGAAGCAGGACCCTGGAGCTTGGGTGTCATGGTGCACCTCCCACCTCATCACTCCAGGTCACAGCCTAACGGTGGGGTGTGCTTCTAAAGATCTGCAGGTCCCAGGGCCATGCGCTTGGCATTGCTGAGATAATAGGGACACAATGTGGGTGAAAATGACCATTTCCAGTGCTGAGTCATTTGCTGTCTTGGTCGATGGAGCCAACACTTTTTGTGGTTGAATCTGCCATGAGAACAGAGGCCGCGTTGGGGTTCATCTAGACCAGCGGTTCTCAACCTGCGGGTCGAGACCCCTTTGGCGGTCGAACGACCCTTTCACAGGGGTCGCCTAAGACCATCTGCATATCAGATATTTACATTACGATTCATAACAGTAGCAACATTACAGTTATGAAGTAGCCACGAAAATAATTTTATGGTTGGGTCACAACATGAGGAACTGTATTTAAAGGGCCAGAAGGTTGAGGACCACTGATCTAGACGTTTCCCCCCTCGAAGAGCAGCCCTGCCTCACCTGGGAGAGGCGGAGGTTATAATGCTGGTGTCCGCCAGCGCTGGGGTGGCCACAGGAGTTGATCCGGGTGATCTCCAACAGCACCTCTCCCGGGAGGAGACTGCACCGTGGTGATCCTTTCCTCGCACTTGGGCTGGCGGTGTGAAAGCCGTCGTCGCTAAATATGTAACAGGCCGCGCGTCTCTGTCCCAGAAGCTGATCGTGACTTTGATACGCTGGGGCCTCGGGCAGCTTGCAGAGCCGCTGAGTGAGTGTGAGATGACAGTGTGGATGGAGGATGCAGACAGCTTTATCAGGGCGTTCGGTGTGAAGAGGAGCTGGGAGTCGGGGCTGTAGCGGAGGGCGCCCAGGGGCATTTCTCTTAAAAGGTGGGCGGGTGTGCGCTGATGAAAGGACTTACAAGTTCCCGAGCCTTTGACCCCTCTCCACCCACACCTCCATCCCAGGAAGATGGTGTTTACCTCTGAGGATTGTGGTGAGGATCAAGCAAGATCATCTGTGCGAAGTTACCCAAAGGCTCCATAGCTAGCAACACGAATGTCAGGATTGGAATCGAGGCGATTGAGCTCCAAAATCCATGTTCTGGGCAGGGTTTCCAACCACTTCTGGCCTGAGCATCTCAGCCTCTCCAGCACACACGTATCCCCAATTCAGGGGCCGGCACGCTCGGGCCTGTAGGTCAAAATGGCTCACCGTCTGTGCGTGGGATTAGAGTGTTATTAATACACAGCCACACGCGCCCATTTTTGCACCCTCTGTGGCCGCTTTCCTGCTACGACAGCACGGGTGAGTGTTTGCAACAGAGACTGGATGGCCTGCAAATCCAAAAATATTTACTACCTGGCCTTTTCTTCAGAAAAAAATTGCCAGCCCCTGATGCATCGGTGACATCCAATGAGTTGATAGGTCATCCCATGCAAAGTGGCAGAATGAGACGGGTTCCCAGAAAGGCAAGGGACAAGCCGTAGAGCTTTGTCCCACTGAAGACGCGGAGCAGGGCCCACGGGAGACGGCAAGCGAAAGCAGTCGTCAGTCCTGTCCCCGAGGCCCAGGAATTGCACTGGCCATAAAGTTGGCCGAAGGTGAGGACCGGAAGCTAAGTGTTCTCCCCACGCTCAGAGCTGATAAAGCCACACAGTCTGCTTTCCCGCCGGACTGGGGAAATGCGGAGCAATGTAAGTCCAAGGTGGGACGGCCCTTCTTCCCCTTAACCCCCTTGAGTGAGGAGGGGATGTGCATTAGACATGAGCCCAGGGAGGAGTGTCACAGACGTCCCACGGCCTGCCCAGGCACCGGCGTAGAGGAGAGAGTTGGTCAGACTTGCCTTTTCGTAGAGCGGTCAGTCCAGAGGCAGCTCGTGGTTGGAATTCATGGGGAAAGACTAAGCGAGAAGCCTCGTAAAGGAAATCAACACCGGTCGCCTGCGAGATGACAGAGGGGTGAACTCAGGCCACAGAAGGGAAGATCCAGAGGAAGGGTTCCTGATGAACGTGGGTAAGAGATAACATAGGCTGAAGCGCAGACATGGGCCACGTGGGAGGAGGAGTCTAGGTGACTCTCCGGTTTCTGGTGAGAACGGACGGATGGCAGTGTCCTTACACCAGGAAGGGGATGTAGACCTGGAGACGGATAAGTTCTATCTTGGACACACTTTCTTTGATTCTTTTGGGACATCAGGGGCCTGGATATGTAAGCCTGGAGTAGAGAAGCAGAGAGTAGAAAAAATTATTCTCTTGGTCCATTTTATTTTTTATATTAATTTGAAAGAGACAGACAGACATCGATTTGTTGTTCCACTTTTTTATGCATTCCTTGGTGGTTTCTTGTATGTGCTCTAACCAGGGATCGAACCTACAATGTTGGCGTATCAGGATGATGCTCTAACCAACTGTGCTCCGGGGCCAGGTCCTCTTTGTCCATTTTATTTGCCATATATTAAGTCAAAGAAGTCAAGACTCTGAACACCTTTACCTATGTCATTGCGGGCGCGGGGAAGGAAAAAGTATGGTTTCCCTAACAAGGACACCTCTGCACCAATAGAGTTGTGTGAACATGCATGGGGGCAGGGGTGGGGGGCTGACCACTGGATGGGAAGTCATTGTACCCACTCACGCATTCCAGTCAGGCTTGTCTTGATTTGCATTTAGATGGAAATTCTTTCGTCTCCGAACCTGGACTGCCCTCACTCACAGCCATTTAGAAAAGCATTAACTTGAGCTCGTGCAGTATCATTGGTACAACAGCGACACAAAACATAAAAGCAGTATTAATAGCGTTCCCTTCATGACTCGGTAGGACTTAGCCGCTGAAACGGTGGAAAAGTTTAGAACACGGCTGCTGGGTGTCTGTCTGAGAGTGGCGTGCATAACCTGTTAATGAGTGACTGCCCGAATTCCCCGGTGCCCGGGGAACCTGTTTCAAGGGGCTGTGTGGGTTACATGCTTTCCCCACGAATTTGGAGGCTTGGCGTGGAACCCAAAACCAACGTTCTTGTGGATCCTGAGTAAGAATGGCATGCGGTCACTTGGGCTGGTTAAAGAAGGGGTGTCTTTTATTCAGAAAAGGGAACCCGAAGCAGGTGGCTCTAAGGAACCACACAGAGGACATTCTGACACGATTGCTATGCTCTGCCCGTTCAAAGACCATTGCGTATACCGTGTTCATTCACGCGTTGGTAAGCCTATTCGGTTATCTTGGTTTAGCCTGATTAAGTCGCTCCATTTATCTTCTTTGCATTTGATTTTAAAAATTAGATTTATCTGGAGAATTATTTGATCACCTCCTGTAAAAATAGCATTTCTCCAAGACAAAAGCATCCTGGAAATGGGTTGTACAACGATGTGAATGCACTTCTGTTGATCTGTGCACTGAATGGCTAAGGAGGTAAATTAGCCCTGGCCGGTGGCTCAGTTAGTTGGGGCATCGTCCCCTGCACCAGAAGGTGCCAGGTTTGATTCCCGGTCAGGGCACATCCCCGGGTTGTGTGTTCAATCCCTGGTCCTGTGGAGGCAACCGATGGATGTTTCTCTCTCACATCAATGTTTCTCTCTCTCTCTCTCTCTCTCTCTCTCTCTCTCTCCCCCCCCCCATCCCTTCCTCTCTCCAAAACCAACAAAAAAATAAATAAATCATCTTGTAACAATATGTCCCTCACTAATGTGTTTGGGACAATCCTATTTTATAGTGTTTCTGTGTGTGTTCTCAACCTAATACTGACTTAGACCAGGTACATTTGATGGCAAGTAATTTATGAAAATGTCATTTTGAGTCTTAAAATGATCTTCAGTGGATTTGGAGAAGGCTGAGGACAACAGGCTTTGGGGTCTATGGAACAAATGTACACACCGTTCTTTGAATATAGTTTATTATTCTTTCTTTACAAACAAAAACAAGCATTCAGCACATTGATTTCCTACAGCAAATGTAGGTTCTTTGATTTCCCAACACGGAGCAGCTGGTCTCTCCTGCCTGGTTGCCAAGTGATGAAATTAGGGACTCAATTAAAATCCATTTAGTTGAGCCCTGGCCAGTGGCTCAGTGGTTAGAGTGTCATCCTGTACACCGAAGGGTTGAAGGGTCGATTCCCAATCAGGGCACATACCCAGGTTTCCGGTTCAACCCTCAGTTGGGACACATGTGTGAGGCGATCGATAGATATTTCCCTCTCACATCAATGTTTCTCTCTTCATTTTCACGCCAGCCCTGCACAGGAGATATTATTATCTCCATTTTTCAGGTGAAGAATCAAGGGTTAGCCCTGCCAGTGTGGCTCAGTAGTTGACCATCAACCTATGAACCAAGAGGTCACGGTTCGATTCCCGGTCGGGGCACATGCCCAGGTTTTGGGGCATTCAGGAGGCAGCCGATCAATGATTCTCTCTCATCACTGATGTTTCTATCTCTCCCTCTCCTTTCCTCTCTGAAATCAGTAAAATATATTTTTTTAATTTTTTTTTTTTTAAAGAATCAAGGTTTAGAGAAATGTACTCATCTGCTGGAGACTTTGCCTAGTAACTGGTAGAGACATGGTTCGGATGGAGGCCGACCTGTGACCTCGTGTTCTTCTGATTTTGCCCCACACTGAGAAGAGCTACCATGTATGGGCACCAGGCCTGAGCAGAGGACAGTACCAGGCACACAGCACACACGGGCCTGCGGCTCGGAGACGGCCGTGCTGGGCGCACAGACCCCGTGGCCGAGCGGGGCCTGGGGGGCGGCAGAGCCTGAGCTCGCTCCCAGCCGCGCTGTTGGGTTGCTTCCTTTTTTCTCTGCTCTGGTCACACGTGTTGACTTTGAGATCTTAATAAAAAGCACTGCGGCTGATGACACCCCTTGGAGATCGGTACCCCTGTTGGCTTTGGAATTCCGTGATGTTACGTGAGTCAAAGTACTGATCCAATACAGTCCCTTCCTTTCCTCGGACAGGAGACAAGAGGCAGGTGTTGGCTTTACTCACACGTGCTCTCCCAGACATTGGCCTCTCTACTCAGACCCTCTGAGTCAGTGGTTCTCAACCTTCCTAATGCCGCGACCCTTTAAATACAGTTCCTCATGTTGTGGGGACCCCCAACGAAAATTATTTTCGTTGCTGCTTCATAACTGTAATTTGGCTACTGTTATGAATCGTAATGTAAATATCTGATATGCAGGATGTATTTTCATTGTTACAAATTGAACATAATGAAAGTGATTAATAAAAACAATATGTAATTATATATGTGTTTTCCGATGGTCTTAGGCTACCCCTGTGAAAGGGTCGTTCGACCCCCAAAGGGGTCTTGACCCACAGGTTGAGAACCACTGCTCTAAGTGGATCCGATCCTGCTCATTGGTAGTATTACAGATGTCTCCCATTTCCCCCTGTATATGTATATAATGTTTGGTGGATCTATTCCAGGCCTCCCTCCCCTCCCCTGAGAGATCTGTCAGTATGAACCAGTTAAGCAGACCTCCAGTCCCATCTTGTCCTCCAGCACCACTTGTGGTGCCTCAACACCTATACTCACCAAGGTCATTGGCTGGGATGAGCCCTCCTCTGGGGTAGGAAGAACCGCGAAATACATTGTTGGACCGAGATTCTTGCATAGGAAATGGACTGTGGTTTTGCTCATTGTCCTGGAGTGTAGCTTGTGTTGTCATTCTCTTTAAATGTTTGCTTATTTCCAGTTTTTCTTGACTCACCAGACAAATGTGTTATTTCTCTATGGCCATGAGGAACAAAGCTGCTTTAACTTTTTTAACTTAACCACCAAGCGCGGAGTTGCTGAGGTGGCAGGTTTAGACTGGGTTTTCAATTGTCATGGCTTATTCACTGACAGAATTGCCCACGGAAACAATACATTGGCAGAAAATTAAATTACCTGTTGGTGTGACTCAATGGTGAGTGTCGACCCATGCACCAAGAGGTCACCAGTTCAGTTCCCAGTCAGGGCACATGCCCCAGTTGCAGGCTTGATCCCCAGTAGGGGGCATGCAGGATGCAGTCAATCAATGTTGATGTTTTTCTCTCATAGATGTTTCTATCTCACTGTCCCTCTCCTCTCTCTCTAAAATCAATTTCTATAAAACATTTTTTTTTTCAGAGAGGAAGGGAGAGCGTGAGAGGGAAACATCAATGAGGAGAGAAAATCATTGATCAGCTGCCTCCTGCAAACCCCCTACTCGGGATTGAGCCCGAAACCTGGGCATGGGCCCTGACCGGGAATGGAACTGTGACCTCCTGATTCATAGGTCGATGCTCAACCACTGAGCCATGCTGGCCAGGCAAAAAAAAAACCCACATATTTTTTAAAAAATTACCTGTTCACCTATTTGAGCAATACCTGGAATTTGGGCAACTCTCCCAGGTTAAATTTGGGAATAATTTCATTTTTAAGGGTAAATTCAGCAACAGCAGTAACACATCCCGAGCTTCTCTGACGTGCCTCCTCCTTGTTTGTCTCAACGTCCTGTCCCCGGCACTGCCTCAGGTATCAGACAGGGCAGGAAGAGTTAGGGAGAAAATTGCTAATCAATGCCCAGCAGCCTGCCCCTTCATGCTAAAGCACCTGCAGTGAGTTCCTTCCCATGCAACCCTTCATAATCGTTATGCTTCTAAAACCTAAAATTCTGCACCTACCGAGTTTCCTCGATGTCTGTCCTGCGTCTGCTGCCCTGTTCTCCTGGCTGCTCTGAGCCTATGTCACCTCATTTGTAAAGCACCTTCCAGCAACCTGAAAGCAGGCACAATAAGGGGCTGGTCTGGGTTAGGGCAGGGAGGGGAGAGAAAAAGTCCTGAGTTGCTAGGCATCATGAAGCTTTAAAGAAAATAATCTACCCTGACCAGTGTTGTTCAGTGGTTAGAGTGTTGGCCCACACACCAAAAGGTCGAGGGTTCGATTTCCAATTAAGGGCACATACCTGGGTTATGGGTTTGACCCCCGGCCCTGGCTGGGACTCGTATGGGAGGCAACCAATCGATGTGTCTCTCTCACATCAATGTTTTTTTCTCTCTCTCTCCCTCTCTCCCTTCCACTCTCTCTAAAAAAAAAAAAAATTCAATGGAAGAGATATCCTTGGGTGAGGACAAAATAAAAATTTAAAATCTTGTAATAGACTGTTTAAAACACAACAAACTTTGTACACTATTTAGGACTGCTACAGGAAAACAGTACTAATCAAAACTGAATTTCCAAGTTGCACTCTTTTCAGGAGAGTCATAAACAGAATAGAACGCCGAGACGAAAGCCACTGTTTCTGAAACCCAGGCAATAAAAGGTGTTGACAGAGGCCTCTGAGAAATGAGCAGTGACTTCAGAAGCTCTTGTGCGGCGTTCACAGCCACACAGGCGGCTGTTGGGACCCCGTCCGTCTGCCTTCACTGGCTTTCCTTTGCTTCCATAAGGACTCCGTTGCTTTGTGTAAAGGCTCCTTTCGGTGCTTGTTTCTAATTATTACTCTGGTCTGTTTCCTCTTTACTTCCTAACTCACTGAAATACCGCGTTCAAGCCATTTTTACTTCTGCGATACTTCTGAGGCTTTCCCACTTAACTTCTACATTCATTGTAAAGACATTTAAACGTTCCTGCTGATCTGGGGCCCTCTCAAATCCATCCCTCTGACTCTACACAGATAGTAAGATCTTTCCTATTGCCAGAAACAGCTGGGGGAAGTTTACACCTGCTTCTTCTGTCCCACCGTGTGAAACCTGATTCCTTTAGCTCCCACTGGTTTCTGTCTTTCTTTAACTTCACAAGAACACTCAGCTCATGCACCCTTGACTAGGAATTGAACCCTCAACCCGTTGGTGAGCAGGCTGAAGCTCTATCCACTGAGCATACCGGCCAGGGCTAATTGCATCTCGACTATTGTCCTCCCTTTTGATGGCTTTATGTAGAACAAACACACAGTCATGGAAGCAGTCTGTCTCAAGCATTTGTGTAACTTTTCACCAGTTTCTGGCCAGAGTTCCCATAGATGCAGGGATGAAAGGGCTGAGAAAACGACTCACCGGGGTCTGCGCCGGAGGGTCGATGAGCAGGCCAGCTGGAGGGCGAGAGTAGAGAACAATGAAGAGAGACTTCCTTGTGACTTTATGTCCCTTTTTATGTTGCTTTATCCTAGAAATACAACACATTTCAAAATTTATGGCTTCATGCCTCAAGAACTGAAAGGTTTCTTGAGCTTGGGGAGCAATACTGATTTTTTTTATTGGCAAAATATTATGGGAGAATAAGTGTCAACAGAAGAATGTATTTAGCTCCCAGTGAGTTGTGTTAAACACAAACTTAATAAAATACTTTGAGTAGCAAAAAAGGAAAACTAATTTGGATTTGCTTGTGAAAGGGAAGAGAAATACCGGTTTCAGACCCTGACTAATGGGCTCCACAGTATCAGAATTGGAGGAGTAACAAACTGACCCTGTGTATGGGTAGGGTTCCTACTTCATATCTTTGATATGAATTTCTAATCATCTGGATATTTTATGGACCCACCTGCCATGGCTCCTGGCAGGTACTAAATATTTAGCAGTTACTAAATTTTTGCTGAATGACTCTCTTCAAAATCTTAACATTGTCTACTTTGGGGAAGTTAGAAGATAACTTAACACAAAGGACCCAGACAAACAGGACTTTTTTGGTTCTGTTTTCTTAACAATACTTGGTATCAAACATTTTCAGCTGACTTGTTGAACCATATACATTGGCTGCCACACTCTGAAAAGCTGCTGTGGAATAAACACTGTTTAATGGAAATCATTTAAAAATGTTAGGAAGGAGCTAATTTTATTAAAAGCATCTGAAATTGTTATTTGGAAAAGTATCAAAGTGAACAAAACTTTTCCCCCAAAATATACTGATTAAAATGGATCGGGAGAATGAATAGTTATGGTGTCCAATGTTTTTGAGTTTTTATCAAATTCCTATACAACTTTAAAAAATCAATAGTCATGCCCTAGCAGTCCGTGGTGGACAAACTGCGGCTCTCGAGCCACATGCGGCTCTTTGGCCCCTTGAGTGTGGCTCTTCCTAAGCCTTAGCAGTACCCTAATTAAATTAATAACGATGTACCTACCTATATAGTTTAAGTTTAAAAAATTTGGCTCTCAAAAGAAATTTCAATCGTTGTACTGTTGATATTTGGCTCTGTTGACTAATGAGTTTGCCGACCACTGCCCTTGCTGGTTTGGCTCGGTGGATAGAGCATCGGCTTATGGACTGAAGGGTCCCAGGTTTGATTCCTGTCAAGGGCACGTACCTCAGTTGCAGGTTTGATCTCTGGCCCTGGTCAGAGTATGTATCTATCACATCAGTGTTTCTCTCTGTGTGTGTCTCTCCTCCTCCCTTCCACTCTCTCTACAAGTCAATGGAAAAATATCCTCAGGTGAGGATTCACAAAACAAAACAAAAACATCAATAGTCACATCACAGAACAGAAATGGTAGGGTGGGGTCAAGAGCCAGCAGAGCTCTCTGCTAACACCCAACCCGGAGTGTCAGTGACCTCTAGGCCTTGGAGAGCATGTTACAACAAAAATGTTTGCTGTGTTATTTCTTAGCATAGTCACTTTTTTTGTTTTAAATGTCAGGTCCAAGACTCAAGGGAAAATTGATGCAATATGTCTAAATAGGAATGAGGTGAAGGAGGAGCATGAGTAAATGGCATGAAATCATCCCTGAACCATTCTCACTATTAAATCAACTATTTTCCCACCACATTTTCCAGTGATTTGCTAATAACGAACAATTCATTTCACTTGACTATTTTTGGAATGTCCATTATGTGTCAGGCACAAGCGACACCAGGATAACCAAACAGCCAATCTTCCCCTCAAAGAGTTTATGGGGCTTCGGGGGAACTGAAAAGTAAACCCCAACCCTGTGTAAGTGCCTTATGAGAGTGTGTAGTTTAGCCCGGCCAGCGTCCAGGAGGTCTCGGTTTGATTCCCGGTGGAGGCACATGCCCATGTTGTGGGCTTGATCTCCAGTGTGGGGCGTGCAGGAGGCAGCTGATCAATGATTCTCTCTCATCATTGGTGTTTCTATCTCTCTCCCTTCCTCTCTGAAATATATATATATATATTTAAGTGTGTGGATTAGAGAAGCAATTAACCAGGTAAACTGTGAGAAGAGGCCGAGAATCAGGAAGACTAAGCCTTTTTCGTAAGACTCATTCTCAAGGAGTGAGTGAATAGGAGCCAGCCACGTGGCAGGGAGACCAGCCAGAATGTTCAAAACCCTGAGCACAGTGGGCAGGGACATGCCTAAGGCTCAAGTGTGGGGGCTGCAGGGGGGAAAGAAGGTAAAGGAATGAACCGCTCAGGCCCCGCTGAGCTGAGGAGCTAGCCAGCATTTCCAAAGGTTCCTGAGAGTCACTGAGCGGTTCCACACATGGAGAAACAAGGAGTGTGTGTTTCTAAAAGGTCACGTTGGCTCCAGGTTAGAGAAGGGCGAGACAGAAGGAATTGGGGCTGATCCAGCCAGCAAGCATGTGACAGTGGAAATGCAGCCCCGTGGGGCAGCAGCAGCAAAGAATTCTGAGGTGGTGAAGTGAGCGCATGCAGGGAGGGATTCGGAGGAGTGTGAATGTCTGTAGAAAGCTCAATGGCAATGGCCAGCAGATGGCCTTCTTTCAAGAGGGCTGTCAGCTTCAGATGGAGGCTTGGGAGTGGTCAGCCCAGAGGTGGGGGTAGAAGCTGCTCGAGGGCACTCAGCTCATGTCCTGGCCCCGGTGGCAGGTTCCCACCTCACAGAGGACATCTCTGCAGAGCAGAGTCAGAGTTCAGAGATAGTGGGGGAAACATCAGAGCTGTGGGTCCATGCCCTGAGTTACTCAGGAGCCACTCATCCAGTATTTAAAGTTGATTGATTTCTCGCAATAGCTATTTAAGATTGTATCTATATACTAGAGGCCCGGTGCACAAATTCATGCACAGGTGAGGTCTGGCCTGCTCACCCCAATGGGGGCCCATTGGGCCGGGCCAGTGGAGGGTGGGGGCCACGGGCAGTTGGCCGGTTGGCCCTGCTCCCGATCAGTGTGTTGGGGCCCAATCGGGGCCCAAATCAGGCTGGTTGGCTGCCGCAGTGCACATCATAGCCACTGGTCGTTCTGGTCGTTCTGCCATTCTGGTCGCTGGGTTTTTATATATCTACTAGAGGCCCAGTGCACAAAAATTTGTGCACTCCGGGGAGGGGGTTCCCTCAGCCCTCTCGCAGTCTGGGACCCCTCGGGGGATGACCACCTGCTGGCTTAGGCCTGCTCCCCGGGGGATTGGGCCTAAGCTGTCAATCAGACATCCCTCTGGCAGCCCGGCAGCCCTCGGGGGATGTCCACTTGCCAGCGGGGAGCAGACCTAATCTGCAGTCAGACATCCTTAGCACTTCTGAGGAGGCAGGAGAGGCTCCCACCACCACCGCTGTACTGGCAGCCATCAGCCTGGCTTGTGGCTGAGCAGAGCTCCCCCATGTGGGAGCGCACTGACCACCAGAGGGCAGCTCCTGCATTGAGCGTCTGCCCCCTGGTGGTCAGTGTGTGTCATAGTGACCAGTCATTCCCAGTCTTTCTGCTGTTAGAGTCAGTTTGCATATTACCCTTTTACTATATAGGATAGAGGCCTGGTGCACAGGTGGGGGGCGGCTGGTTTGCCCTGAAGAGTGTCCGGATCAGGGTCGGGGTCCCACATGGGTGCCTGGCCAGCCTGGGTGAGAGGCTGATGGCTGTTTGCAGCTGGTTACACCCCCTTCAGGGTGGGGGTCCCCACTGGGGTGCCTGGCCAGTCTGGGTGAGGGGCTGATGGCTGTTTGCAGGCTGGCCGGCGACTGAAGCTCCCAGCCTCTCCTTTTTTTCTTTTTTTTTTTATTCTGGGATTTATTTACCTTC